TGGCTGGGAAAAAGCATCCCCCAAACGGTTCCTGGCTGGCAACTTCATTTAGCTATCTTCTACTAGCTGGTAGTGCGGAGCGGATATTATTTTCCCACAGTTGTTAATTATTAACTATTTATCTCTTATTGGATGTCAATTAATACTTTCGAGCAACAACAAGTCAATTTTAAAATTTTTTTTTTACACGGGGATACCAAACCCAATGGAACATTGATTGAAGAGACAATGGACAGAATTTCTCTTCTTGTAGCTGGTTCTTTCTTTGCTAGCGATTTTGCAACTAAAGGTGTCTGTTTGAACATTCCACTGCATGCCTTGTTGAAGCCAAGATCCTTGACTGAGAGTGCCCTTTCTGATTCACAAATAGAGTTGATTACAAACATTGTAAATTTCTGGCAAACATTGTAAAGCTCCATTGAGCTGTGGAAATGAGCTATATAAATTCATGTATTATTATTATTATTAAGACGCATTCCGCTCAAAGTGCGAGCAATAAGTGCAAAAATTATTTACTAAAAATCTACTCATAGCATGGTAACTTTTTGAATACTATTTAAAACATCTAAATGTATTTCATTTCTCTAGGTGACCCCGCGATTATCATTGTAAGAATGCTTAATGCGTGTGTTATTGTGTTTTCAACTAACGCGAAACGTCCGTTTTAATTGAAATATGGATAAATTCAAGATAAGTTTCCTCTGGCGGGGTCAGCTTGAGAACTTATATCTCGATAAGTTCTTCTTACCTTTATTCAAAATATTACCATGCTATGAGGCTTTTTGGGAACTTTATTTTTGCCACTATTGCTTGAGTGTTCTGCAGAAATCATCTTACTCATTACTTCTCTTGAATTGGTAAGGTGAAATTCTCCTTTCAATGGTAGTTCATGGAAATGTCCTGCCATTAGCAACAGCACGTGAATCTGTTACAACTGAAATTATGTAGATAGTCCTCTACATAGAAATTGCACTTAACGGTTTCGGCTACAGCTGCATCAAAATTTTCTTTGTTGTGGCAAAAACCTTCTTTAAGGCATAGTTGGCTCAGCTTGGAGATGGAAAACCTTCAAACAAATGGAGCAAAATTTGGTATTCTTCTGGCTGCTTTTAAATCGCCATCTGGCCACCAAATGAATTGAAAATAGTTAGTCACTTAGCCATACTCAAACTTGATAGAACATTTCCTTAACAGCTCGTTGTTAAGAGAGGTTACATGATACTTTGCTGCGCATTCAAATAAAATTTGGAGCTTGTCTTGTTTCTGTGAGTGAAATACTGAATGGTGCGACAGGTGTCTTTCAGGGACAAGTTTGCACTAGTCACCTTTTCAGCATAGTTCTTGTGTAACAGGTTGTCCATGAAATTTTTCTATCTGTTTCGCTTGCTGTACAGTTCAATATTATCAAAGTATCAGCCACTTTAGTCACAACAATTTAATTCCATTTGTCACTACTTACTTAGAAACCTAGTAATAGTAACAAAGGCATGAATAAAAAATGAAACTAAACTAGACGCTTTGCTGCGTGTACCCAGGCAGTCGCTATACTGAGAGGCACTAGCTATATTGCAATCGAGCTAAGTGTTCTGCATTTGAAGTCGTACGAAATTCAATCGAATCGATGTGCTCAAGCTATTCTGTTTTTGATTGCATTTCTTGGAAACGAGTATTAGCTCATTACTCGTTTGCAGGTCTTTAAGGCAAGAAATGAGTCAAGGCCTTTATATCAACCTATAAACGTTTCAGTCTATTTTCCTTAGCCTTTGTGGTCGTTATTTACGTTTCTCAAGCAAGCGAGACATTTTGCATTTCAGAGTTATGGCGGTGCGTGACATAGACCTACAAACACGTTTGTCAAAAACCATATACTTATCTCGTGATTTTTAGCCCATTCAGAAGTTAAAGCATTAAAAAAAGTGCTTATGTAAATGCTTGTTTATTCAGTACAGATAATCAGTCGCCTAGATAGCCAAAGTAAGTTCCAGATGTTTACACTATTTACCGGCTGCAATGTTGGCGTACCATGGAGGTACACCAACATGGCGGCTCCGTACTGGGCTCTGTAAATTTGTGCAAAATGTTTCGACGAATATCTGAGCTTGGCAAAAAACACAGACTTAAAAACTGGAGAAGTATCATCTTTAGTAACCTCCTATAACATCACAATTTCTTGATTTTATCCACTAAATGGAGCCGAAATTTAAACCCAGGCCTCACTGCCTGGGTAAAAATGAAAACATGAGCAAAGGTCAATGCCCAATGGCTAACACTTACCAGTGGTTTGAGAGAATTACAGCAAACCAAAAGTACAGCTCAAAATCTTTAAAGTGCACCTAACTGCCAAATTTTCTTCGCTAAAATAATAAAACTTATTTTGTGGAGTAATTTGCCGCAAAAATTTTTCGATTCGGTTAAATCCTTGAATTTCTGTGCCCCCTTGAAACCGAGTTTTGGATGGTTTGTGTCCGCGCATGGGGAATCTGAGGAGGGTTAAAGCTGTAACGTCAAATCCAGAACGAATGCTTCGGCTGCCCCAGTCAGGTCAACATTTTTCACTTTACAAAACATTTTTCGACATTCCTACTGTATGTCATCTTCAGTTGCAAATGTTTGACGGTTGTACATTTGAATTTTCACTGTATACAGGATTATGTTATAGCATTACGCCATACAATTTACCTTAACAATTTGAATATTGGAATGCACTGGGAATAAAGGACTGCACAACACATTAAAAAAATTAAATAAAGTAAACAAAAAATGAAAAAGAATTAACAAGAAGAGACAAATGTAAGTGCCTCAGCTGTTGGTTTAGAGCTGGAATTTCCCTCTTAATATACAGCACCTCTTTTACCTTAACTTAAAAACTCGAGGCGGTGGAATCCAGAATTGTGAAAGATTCGGCAGAGCATGAGTTACAACAAGTCCCTGATGGCTGCAACACTAGTCCTAGTTAGTGCTTGTAAACATGCGAAGCCTTGTCCGACAGAAGGTACTTACGAACATGTTTACAAATGTGGTGAGTGGTCTCACCAATGTCGCAGGCATTACAGTCAGCACATGTGAATTTATAAATGACATGCGAACGGAGACTCTGCGGCACGGATTCTTTCAAGCTGAACTCAAATGTAGAAAAAAACTAACTTAATATCTAGATAAGTTTTGCAATGACGTTTAATCAGCTGTCTTAATTTAATATGCGCAACTTTAGAAAAACGGTCAACATAAGGGAGTTTGTAGAAATGGGTAGAAGTTCCATTTGAGCTGAGCAGGCCACTCTGCTCATTTGCAGGATTGACATTCATTTTCTTAGAAACATAGCTATGACTAATTTTGTCAATAACCCAGATGGGTTACCGGCAGTAAATTTGCAATTAGTACACAGGAAGCTGCTTATATTGTGCTACAATTACATGAGAAAAACTTGAAGAGAAATAATATCCATTAATACTACACCTCCTGAAGAGAGGGTAGAGCTTTTGAAAGCCACGAATGATATTAAAGAAATGGCCAGTGATTCTGAAGAGATTTGTAAAAGTGATTTGCTCAAATGAAATTGTAAACGTCCAGCAAAGCTGGAACACTTAACACTTGCAGACTGGGCTGCATGGTATGATAGGAGTGGAAAGCCTTACGTAAAACCAATGACTGAGTTGGACCCTGATGGCTTGCCATTAGAACTGAAATACTGACACCTCTATTAAGTAGATGCAGATACTAAAATAAATTGTATTTGGCTAATTTCTATTGTTAAAAACCTCTATTAAACGGACACTGGACTAAATTGACAATGTGGCACTGGATTACGTAGTTGAAATAGTCGATTAAATGTACAGTACCCGTATAATCGTTGCTTTATTGAAAGGGCATTATTACAAACAAATTAAAGTTGGCGATG